AAATACATTGAAAAAAAAAAAGTATTTGAACCCCTTGGGTTTATGTGGAGTTTTGCATGAATTGGGCATAAAATGGCTTAAACGCAACTAAGTCACAAAAATAGAAAAACCAGTTGCTGAACAAAAATAACACAAACATTAGTTTGCCGGGTTTTAAATTTGCACATAACATGTAAACATTCACAGGCGGGAGAAAAAGTATGTGGGGGCCCTAGTTTAATTCCTTCTCCCAGACTATTGGACCCGGAGTGGCCAACCTTGCCCCAATCAGTGTGATGATATTGGATGTGTTGCGACAGCGTCCTCCCCTTTAAAATAAACACACCTGTTTTGGGTTTTACGGGTTTTAAAGAACACTGTCTGATGTGAACCATCCCTCGCAGAAAAGAGCCCTCAGAAGACCACGATAAAGAATTGTTGACTTGCATAACTGGAAAGGGTTACAAAAGATCTCCAAAAGCTTTGATGTTCTTTTGGGCCCGGAAAGAAAACCCGCTCAAAAAAAAAATTGGGGAAGGAAAAATGTTTTTTAGCACTGTTGCTACTCTCCCTAGGCGGCGTCGTCCTGTAAAAATGACTGCAAGAGCACAGCGCAGGAATGCTGCATTGAGGTAAAGAAGAATCCCAGAGTGTCAGCTAAAGACCTTACAGAAATCTCTGGCACATGCTAACATTTTTTTGACTATCACTAGCAAGTGACACATCTACAATAAGGAAAACATTTTAAACAAGAATGGAGTACATGGGAGGACACCACGGAGGAGGAAGCCATTGCTGTCCAAAAAGAATATTGCAGCACGTTTGAAGTTTGCAAAAGAGCGCCTGGATGTTCCACAGCACTACTGGCAAAATATTTACTGTGGACAGATGAAAACCAAGATTGAGTTGTTTGGGAAGAACACTAAACACTATGTGTGGAGAAAAAAAAAGGCACAGCATCCCAACATCAAAACCTCATCCCCACTTGTGAAACATGGCGGAGGGAGCCTATCATGGTTTTGGGGCTGCTTTGCTGCCCTCAGGGCCTGGACGGATTTGTCGTCATTGCATGGGATAAATGAATTCCAGAGTTTGATCCAAGACAATTTTGCAGGGAAAACGTTACACGGACCATCTGTCCGCCAACTGAAGCTCCGCAGAGGATGGATGATGCAACAGGACAATGACCCCAAAGCATACAAATAATTCAAACAAAACAATGGCTGCAACAGCACAGAATATGCCTTCTGGAGTGGCCCAGTCAGAGTCCTGACCTCAACCCGATAAAAGAAATTGCTGTGGCATGACCTTAAGAGAGCGATTCACACCAGGACATCCCCAAGAATATTGCCTACACTGAAACAGTTTTGTGAAGAGGTGTGGTCCAAAATGACTCCAGATCGTTGTGCAGGTCTTGATCTGCAACTACAGGAAACGTTTGGTTGAGGTTATTGCTGCCAAAAGGAGGGTCAAACCAGGTATTAAGTCCAAAGGTTCACATACTTTTTCCTCCCTGCACTGTGAATGTTTACATGTTATGTGCAAATTAAACCATAGGCAACATCTATATGTTTGTGTAGTATTATGTTCAGCAGACTGTGTTCTTCTATTGTTGTGACTTAGATGACTTTTAAGTTACGAGCACATTTTTATGCCCAATTTCATGCAAAACTCCACGTAATCCCAAGGGGGTTCCACATACTTTTTCTTGCAACTGTATGACTGCCGGGCAGTCACCGAGCAGCAAGCATTCTTATGGAGGATGTCAGTGTGACATTACTCCAGCCATGCCAGTCACCACACAGTCTTTGTGAATACACTAAGATAAGGGGAGACACTGACATAAAAGTTCCCTCTTATACCAGTACCCCCCCTTACCTTAACTGTAAATTCACTCTGCAGAAGGTGGTCTGTGGTTACCAGAGTCCCCACCTCATTAGAGTTCCCGGCATTACCCCTAAATCAGTGTCCTCAGTGTTCCCTTTTACATCAGAATCTGCAGGTTTCCCCCTTACAGTGCAAAGGAGAACTCTGCTGAGCTTAATGTAGACAGAATCTCTGATGTAAAGGGGTACTCTGTGGACTGTGATGTACAGGGTTTCTCTGTGGACTCTTGTGTAAGGGGGCTCTGGTAACCAGTGTACAGCATTCCTCCTTACATCAGACCTCACAGATTTTTCCTTTAGTTTGGAGTCCCATGGTGTTGCGTTTTTACATCAGAGTCCGCAGAGTTCCCCTTTGCACTCTAAAGGGGAACCCTGCAAACTTTGATGTAAGGGGGAACTGTCTGGTGGATTATATTAACCTGACCTTCATGTAAAAGAGAAATATGTTTTTTGCCTTTTGCTATAATTTAAGCTCATTGATAATCACACTATCTACTTGTCTGTAGCTTAAATATTGATATTTGAAAATAATTTTTTGGCTAACTTTTTACCTGTCAGTAAATTTCACTTTGGTAGGTCTTCACCACCCTGCTGTATGGTCTCAGACCCAAGTCACTGAGTGCAGTCTCAGGAGATGGGAGGCAGCGGTGTGGGATCTCTGCAACTTGTCTACAGTAAACATTTAATCTTCCACTGATTACTGAATACCAAATATTATGAGTCCTGACCCTTACACTGTATAAATGTATATTGTACATTACATACTCCTGACCCCTGCACTATATACTCTATGTTGTACATTACATTCTCCTGACACCCCTACTATATACTCTATGTTTACATTACATTACATACTCCTGACTCCCCCTGCACTATATACTCTATGTTGTACATTACATACTCCTGACCCCTGCACTATATACTCTAATGTTGTACATTACATACTCCTGACCCCTGCACTATATACTCTATGTTGTACATTACATACTCCTGACCTCTGCTATATATACTATTACTAATGTTGTCATTCCATAGTCCTGACTTCTGCTCTCCACCTCCACCCCCCCACTGCTATATATACACATAATATGGATTCTCCTCTTGTTACACCCATTTCCTCCCAGCTGACATTTTTATATCGGATGATGTGATTGGAGCACAGACTTTTACATGGTGATAATAATGTGATAACATCCTCCAATTTTGGACCCTTAAACAGAAATGTGATAATGAGGGAGGAGTCAATACCCCAATGATGGTGGTCTTCAGGATCAGTCCAGTCTTCATCTTGGTTGTTCTCCCCCCATCCCTCACTCTCTGACCTCTGGTGGGGCTCAGCCCGCTGTTCTTTATGACTAAATCATGGACTAAATAAGGAAGTGCAGTACTTCTTTTGTGGGAAGATGGCGATGAGTGATAGAGGGGGTGGGGACCCTCGTCCTATAATCCCCTCATCACTGGCCCTCCTATAAAAGACACTTCTGGTTGTTTCCTCACTCTCTGACTAAGGTCCCAGAATAAAAGAATGACCTGGTAGGAGATCAGAGGAGCCATTTCCTAGTTCCCTTGAGGGTGGAATTGTAAGCTCCTCAGAGACCAAGCTGCCTGATGTGGGCGGAGTCCTGGTTTGGGGGAACCAATCAGCTCCTGTCTAGTAATCCTCTTTGTCTTTGTATTTTAGTCCATGGCCGGGAGATGAGGAAAACCTCCGAGGATTGTCTCACTTTGTCTCCAGACTGGAAAGTAGAAGATGAGGACATCAACACAGTATAGTCCAGGAGAAAACCCGGCTCCCTCCAATGTCCATCCGGCACCACCCAGTGTTAGATGGACCATCGGATTCCTCGTATCCTGAGGAACCTCAGACTGTGTCGGGACCGGGCCGGCCTTCCAACAGAGAAGAGCTTCTCCTGTACTGAGTGCGGGAAGTGTTTCTATTTTAAATCCCAACTTAATTTGCATATAAGAGCTCACACAGGTGAGAAGCCATATTCTTGTTCTGAGTGCGGGAAAAGTTTTTTCAAAGAAGTCCAGTCTTCACATACATCAGAAATTGCACAGGGGGGAGAAGCCGTATTCCTGTCCTGAGTGCGGGAAATGTTTTCTTTGCAAAAAATCACAACTTGAGAAACACCATAGGTCCCACACAGGGGAAAAGCCGTATTCCTGTACTGAGTGCGGGAAATGTTTTTCAGACATGTCCAATCTTTACAGACATAAGAGATTGCACACAGGGGAAAATCCATATTCCTGTCCTGAATGCGGGAATTCCAGTCTTTCTATTCATCAGAAGATTGTACACGAGTGAGAAGCCATCGACCTGTTTTGAGTGCAGGAAATACTTTGTACAAAATTCACCTTTCAAACATCAAAGGTCTCACACACGGGGGAAAGCCATATAACTGCCCTGAGTGCGGGAGGTGGTTTTCAGACAAGTACTCTCTTTATAGACATCAGAGATTGCACACAGGAGAGAAGCCGTATTCCTGTTCTGAGTGCGGGAAATGTTTTGTTCAAAATCAGATCTTGTCACACATCAGAGATCTCATACGGGGGAAAAGCCATACTCTTGTCTGGAGTGCAGGAGATGTTTTTCACAGAAGTCACATCTGTACAGACATCAGAGATCTCACTTGAGGGAGAAGCCATAATCCTGTCCCAGAGTGTTAGAAAAAGAAGTTCTATCTTTCCATACATCAGAGATCTCACACGGGGGAAAAGACGTATTCCTGTCCTGTGTGTGGGAAATGTTTTTCAGATAAATCAAGCCTTTCCATACATCAGAGATTGCACACGGGAGAGAAGCTGTATTCCTGTCCTGAGTGAGGGAAATGTTCCTCACTGAAGTCCTGTCTTCCTGTACATCAGGCTTCCCACACAACCCTGGAGATGTGTATTAGTGCCTTGAGTGCGGAAAATGTCTTCTAGATGAATGTTGCTGGACATCCCAGCTCTCATGTGGGGAAGAAGCCCCTCCCCTAATATACACCTCAGATATACTCCATGGCTGATCTTCATCATGGAAGAAACAGTTCATAAGGAGATCAGAGGTCACCAAAGACATGGATGAAAATGTGTGGGACCGGGTTGGCCATTGATAGCAGGAGAAGAATAAAAAATGGAGTCATCACCTTTCATTTGGCTGAGTACATTTTGTGGTGGAAGATTTCACACTTGAGAGGTGAGAAATCAGCTGAGATTATCAGGATATCAGCCTAACATACCCCAAGTTTAAAAGATTAGTTGAATGAATACTGGCCATACTTTTATTTCATGCAGTGATTTCCTATGATTATTAGCACCATCTAGTGGTAATAATGCAGCACTGCAATATTAAGATTGCAATAGAGCTAATAGATGAAGTCTATGATCATAGTAAATTACTGTTTATTTAAATACGAACAGAATTTGTCACAGCTGGACAAATTCTTGTCACCATTGTCCAACCAATATTTTACAAATAGATATTTTAGTTTCTTCCATCAAGCATTGGTTTTGCATAAACAGCCGAAATCATACACATGCATTTAAAGTGTTACTAAACCCCGGACCCAGCATTCACTATATCTGGTCTCCTCGGACCCTGCATGCACTATATCCAGTCTCCCTGAACCCCGCATTCACTATATCTGCTCTCCCCAGACCCCGCATTCACTATATCTCCTCTCCCCGGACCCCGCATTCACTATATCCGCTCTCCCCGGACCCCGCATTCACTATATCTGGTCTCCCCGGACCCTGCATTCACTATATCCGCTCTCCCCAGACCCTGCATTCACTATATCCGTCACCTCGGACCCCGCATTCACTATATCCGCTCTCCCTGTGGATCCCGCATTCACTATATCCGTCTCCCCGGACCCCGCATTTACTATATCCGCTCTCCCTGGATCCCGCATTCACTGTATCTGCTCTCCCTGGACCCTGCATTCACTATATCCGGTCTCCCCAGACCCCGCATTTACTATATCCGCTCACCCCAGACCCCGCATTCACTATATCTGCTCTCCCCAGACCCCGCATTCACTATATCTGGTCTCCCTCGGACCCTGCATGCACTATATCCCTCTCCCCGGACCCTGCATTTACTATATCCGCTCTCCCCCGACCCCGCATTCACTATATCTGCTCTCCCCGGACCCCGCATCCACTAATATCATGTCTGCCCTGACCCCGCATTCACTATATCCGCTCTCCCCGGACCCCACATTCACTATATCCGCTCTCCCCGGACCCCGCATTCACTGTATCCGCTCTCCTCGGACCCTGCATTCACTATATCTGGTCTCCCAGACCCTGCATTCACTATATCCGCTCTCCCCAGACCCCGCATTCACTTAATCCGCTCTCCCCGGACCCCGCATTCACTATATCTGGTCTCCCCAGACCCTGCATTCACTATATCCGCTCTCCCCAGACCCCGCATTCACTATAATCCGCTCTCCCCGGACCCCGCATTCACTATATCCGCTCTCCCCGGACCCCGCATTCACTATATCCGGTCTCCCCGGACCCTGCATTCACTGTATCCGCTCTCCCAGGACCCCACATTCACTATATCCGCTCTCCCTGGACCCTGCATTCACTGTATCACTCACCCCGGACCCCACATTCACTATATCCGCTCTCCCCGGACCCCGCATTCACTATATCCGCTCTCTTCGGACCCTGCATTCACTATATCTGGTCTCCCCGGACCCTGCATTCACTATATCCGCTCTCCCCAGACCCCGCATTCACTATATCCGCTCTCCCCGGACCCCGCACTCACTATATCCGCTCTCCCCAGACCCCGCATTCACTGTATCCGTCTCACCCTGGACCCCACACTCACTATATCTGCTCTCCCGGACCCTGCATTTACTGTATCTGCTCTCCCAGGACCCCGCATTCACTATATCCGCTCTCCTCGACCCCGCATTCACTATATCTGGTCTCCCCAGACCCTGCATTCACTATATCCGCTCTCCCCGGACCCCGCATTCACTATATCCGCTCTCCCCGGACCCCGCATTCACTATATCCACTCTCCCCGGACCCTGCATTTACTGTATCCGCTCTCCCCAGACCCCACATTCACTATATCTGCTCTCCCCAGACCCTGCATTCACTATATCCGCTCTCCCCGGACCCCGCATTCACTATATCCGCTCTCCCCGGACCCCGCATTCACTATATCCGCTCTCCCCGGACCCCACACTCACTATATCTGCTCTCCCCGGACCCCGCATTCACTATATCCGCTCTCCCCGGACCCCGCATTCACTATATCCGCTCTCCCCGGACCCCGCATTCACTATATCCCGCTCTCCCCAGACCCCGCATTCACTATAATCCGCTCTCCCCGGACCCCGCATTCACTATATCCGCTCTCCCCGGACCCCGCATTCACTATATCCGCTCTCCCCGGACCCCGCATTCACTATATCCGCTCTCCCCAGACCCTGCATTCACTATATCCGCTCTCCCCAGACCCCGCATTCACTATATCTGCTCTCCCCAGACCCCGCATTCACTATATCTGCTCTCCCCGGACCCTGCATTTACTGTATCTGCTCTCCCCCAGGACCCCGCATTCACTATATCCGCTCTCCTCGGACCCCGCATTCACTATATCTGGTCTCCCCAGACCCTGCATTCTCACTATATCCGCTCTCCCCGGACCCCGCATTCACTATATCCGCTCTCCCCGGACCCCGCATTCACTATATCCACTCTCCCCGGACCCTGCATTTACTGTATCCGCTCTCCCCAGACCCCACATTCACTATATCTGCTCTGCGCCCCCCCAGACCCCTGCATTCACTATATCCGCTCTCCCCGGACCCCGCATTCACTATATCCCGCTCTCCCCGGACCCCGCATTCACTATATCCGCTCTCCCCGGACCCCACACTCACTATATATCCGCTCTCCCCGGACCCCGCATTCACTATATCCGCTCTCCCCGGACCCCGCATTCACTATATCCGCTCTCCCCGGACCCCGCATTCACTATATCCGCTCTCCCCAGACCCCGCATTCACTATATCCGCTCTCCCCGGACCCCGCATTCACTATATCCGCTCTCCCCGGACCCCGCATTCACTATATCCGCTCTCCCCGGACCCCGCATTTCACTATATCCGCTCTCCCCAGACCCTGCATTCACTATATCCGCTCTCCCCGGACCCCGCATTCACTATATCTGCTCTCCCCAGACCCCGCATTCACTATATCCGCTCTCCCCGGACCCTGCATTTACTATATCTGCTCTCCCCGGACCCCGCATTCACTATATCCGCTCTCCCCGGACCCCGCATTCACTATATCCGCTCTCCCCAGGACCCCTGCATTCACTATATCCGCTCTCCCCGGACCCCGCATTCACTATATCCGCTCTCCCCGGACCCCGCATTCACTATATCCGCTCTCCCGGACCCTGCATTTACTATATCCGCTCTCCCCAGACCCCATGCATTCACTATATCTGCTCTCCCCAGACCCTGCATTCACTATATCCGCTCTCCCCGGACCCCGCATTCACTATATCCGCTCTCCCCGGACCCCGCATTCACTATATCCGCTCTCCCCGGACCCGCATTCACTATATCCGCTCTCCCCGGACCCCGCATTCACTATATCCGCTCTCCCCGGACCCCGCATTCACTATATCCGCTCTCCCCGGACCCCGCATTCACTATATCCGCTCTCCCCAGACCCCGCATTCACTATATCCGCTCTCTCCCCGACCCCGCATTCACTATATCCGCTCTCCCCGGACCCCGCATTCACTATATCCGCTCTCCCCGGACCCTGCATTCACTATATCCGCTCTCCCCCAGACCCCCGCATTCACTATATCTGCTCTCCCGGACCCCGCATTCACTATATCTGCTCTCCCCGGACCCCGCATTCACTATATCAGGTCTGCCCTGACCCCGCATTCACTATATCTGCTCTCTCCCTGGACCCTGCATTCACTATATCCGCTCTCCCCGGACCCCACATTCACTATATCCGCTCTCCCGGACCCGCATTCACTATATCCGCTCTCTCCCCGGACCCTGCATTCACTATATCTGGTCTCCCCAGACCCTGCATTCACTATATCCGCTCTCCCCGGACCCCGCATTCACTTATATCCGCTCTCCCCGGACCCCGCATTCACTATATCTGGTCTCCCCAGGACCCTGCATTCACTATATCCGCTCTCCCCAGACCCCGCATTCACTTATCCGCTCTCCCGGACCCCGCATTCACTATATCTGGTCTCCCCAGTGGACCCTGCATTCACTATATCCGCTCTCCCCGGACCCCGCATTCACTATATCCGCTCTCCCCGGACCCCGCATCATTCACTATATCTGCTCTCCCCGGACCCCGCATTCACTATATCCGCTCTCCCCGGACCATGCATTCACTGTATCGCTCTCTCCCCGGACCCGCATTCACTATATCCGCTCTCCCCGGACCCCGCATTCACTATATCCGCTCTCCCCGGACCCCATTCACTATATCCGCTCTCCCGGACCCCGCATTCACTATATCCGCGCTCTCCCGGACCCCGCATTCACTATATCCGCTCTCACCCAGACCCCGCATTCACTATATCCGCTCTCCCCGGACCCCGCATTCACTATATCCGCTCTCCCCGGACCCCGCATTCACTATATCCGCTCTCCCCCAGACCCTGCATTTCACTATATCCGCTCTCCCCAGACCCGCATTCACTATATCCGCTCTCCCCCCAGACCCTGCATTCACTATATAGCTGTCCCCCGGACCCTGCATTTACTTGTATCCGCTCTCCCAGACCCCACATTCACTATATCTGCTCTCCCCGGATCACTGCATTCACTGTATCCGCTCACCCTGGTAACCCCACACTCACTATATCTGCTCTCCCCAGACCCTGCATTTACTGTATCCGCTCTCCTCGGACCCTGCATTCACTATATCTGGTCTCCCCGGACCCCGCATTCACTACATCTGGTCTCCCCGGACCCTGCAATTCACTATATCTGGTCTCCCATAGTACAGAGCATGGAAGTGCAATTAGATTTTAGTAAACATAAATACCTTTTCTCATCAGCAGTATAGAGCAGTCTTGTGACTTCTATCAGTGTCCAGCCGAGCACATGTTTAAAGCTTGTAGGAGGAGTTCTCTTTCTGCTCTAGGAGGATGCAGAAACCCCTGACCACTTCTGAACATTTTTGATTGGCCCTATGCTGATCACATGCACTCTCTGGTTTCTGGTGGATCTTCTACAACAGAGATGTTAAGGCCAAAAAAGCTGCTTGAATCTCCAAGATATTGGAGACTACACCTTTCGTGGGAAAATTCCACTTCCCCTGGACTCCGCTCCTCCTTCTGACATCTCTATAACTCATGGCTAAGCTTTATTGCTGAAACGCGTAAACCATTTTATATGCACATTTTATTTTCTCAATAAAGTTTATTATTCCGGAAGACGATACCAATCTTCATTATTACCGTTGCATCTGCGCTGGGAAGGAAGACACACAGAGCCAGAGCACCGACATTGCGCCTCTGTGGGGGTTATCTCTGAGCGCGTAGCACCTACTTGTTCACATTTGTATAACTGTGGTCCAATTTAAACCCCTTCAATACCGGGCACTGTCACCCCCTTCCTGCCCAGGCCAATTTTCAGCTTTCAGAGCTGTCACACTTGACAATTGCGCGGTCGTGCAACACGGTACCCATATGAAATTTGTATCATTTTTTTCACACAAATAGAAGCTTTCTTTTGGTGGTATGTAAATCATCACTGAGTTTTTTTTATTTTTTTTACCAATAAAACCGAACCTTTTGAGAAAAAACACTCTTTTCTTTGTTTCTGTTATTAAATTTTGCAAATAAATAACATTTTCTTCATAAATTTAGATAAAAAATGTATTCTGCTACATTTCTTCTGTGAAAATAATAAAATAATCTCCTAAGATTGTAAGCTCTGAGGAAACCGGGCCCTCTGTTTTCTCTTGGGATCA